TGACTGGGATCAGGCACTTTGGGCTCCCTGGGCTTTTCTTAGATTGCTGTTTTGGCACGATTCTTTTTTCTTTTAGTTTTTTCTTTTTTTTTTTTTTTTTTTTTTGCAAGCACGGTTTTTTCAACTTTTGCGAGGTGAACGCTCGTCCCCGAGCCGATTATCACAGCGGTGAAGGGCAGACCCCTGCTTTGTGCCAGCGACTCCCCGGCTGCTCTCGAGGGCCCCTGCGCATCCCTCCTCGCTGCGGCGCTTTCATGGTGCTCTTGATGTGGGGATGTTTATCTTCCTACCCATTGGTGCATCTCTCAGCTAAAGTGCTTTTACTCAGATTGTGAAACCCACTGTAGTCTTGTCTTTGTTAAGAAGATAAGCTGCAGCAGGAAAGCAGCAGCAGCAGCAGCAAGAAAAAATTCCTCTGGTGTGTTCTATCTTTTTCTCCCAAGGAGTATCACACAACTAGGACAGCCACTGTAATGCTAATAGACAAATCAAAACTCCGAGGAGCAAAATAGAAACATCCGACTATATTTAATAAGGGGGGTTTGTGTGTGTTTGAAAGCTCACAAAAAAAAATCTAGATATTAAATTGATGTCCTGGCACTTGTGCAGTGTAATGGGCAGATTCAATTAAGAGAAGAAAATATGTCCAGCCTGTAGTGTGGGCTAAGCAGCAATAAAAAAGCAAATCAATTTTTCAGGAGTTTCAAAGCCTGGTGCAGATTTCCAGAAGGCAGAAGCCAAAAATATATTTATTAAAAAAGACCCTAGGGGCTCAACAGTGTCATTTTAACCCAACTACCGCACCTTCAATATGATGAAGTGTCACGATATTTTGAGAAATACTTTGTAAATAATCCATTTATATGTATAGATATAACATGTTCTATGTGTATAAATAAATGCGTGTGCTTCTGTTGCATATATACAATGCCTTTGATTATTTGAAGGAGGTGCAAGAGTAAAAATACAGCTTGATACAGATCAAGCTAAGTTATATTCATTTGTATTCTCAGACACCCAGTGTAACAGTAGGGTGGGGTTTTCCATGTGGCATTAAATTAGGGAACTGAATATGTTTATATGAATATATATGTGTGAGTGTATATACCTGTCTCTATGTAGATGAATGTGTGCACACACATACATGTAAATATGCATGTTGATGGTTTATTTGCAGAATATTCCAGATATAACTCTACCAAAATTCTTGGTTTGAGGTTCTTAGGCTGAAATCAGAGTTTATCCAGCCATCCCAGTGCAGAACCAAGAATGGAAGCTCAGACTTCCACAATTCCCTCCAGTTCAAACACAATAACCTTTAAAAATCAAAGGGTGTGAAAGTTCCTACCCCCTCTTTATTTTTTAATCCTACCCAAAGCAGAGTTATGACACATTGAAATCAATCGCAGAGCTCCTGGATGAATAGAATAAGGACTTCCATAAAAAAAAAAAAATATATATATATATATTTTAAGGAATCCATTTGAGTTTTTGGTCACTCATTGTCTGGATCAAATCTAGAAATCAAGAATAGCAAATCCTGCTGCCAACCATGAACTCAACCTGCTTCAAGGCCCTCAAGGAAGGTGTCCATGGTGGGAGGGTTGGAATGAGATGAGTCTCACAGTCCTTTCCAGCCCAAACCATTCCAGGATTCTATGATTCTGTTGCATCAACAGGGAGGCTCTGACACTCAGCCTGCTTCTCACATTTGCATGAGGGATTTTTACTGTCTCTTTTCTTCCCCTCTTTGTTTTTCCACCACCGTTGTTGACAAAAAACAGGTGATCATAAAATGTTTCCCTGTGTTCAGGCAGCAAACCAAGAAAAAATAATTTTCTCTTGTTACACTGAGCCACAGATTTATTTCCCCGAAGAAACCCATGCGTGACTGCAAAGATAAAATAAATTAAAAAAAAAAAAAGAAAAGAAAAGAGGAGTAAGCAGCATGGTGGTGATGATTAAGATGCCCTTCCAAGAAATAAGTAAATAACCCCAAGCTCCCAGTAAGTCCAGGTAGGTCACACCACACCCTGTGTCATTTCACGGCCTCTCTGTGTAATCAGGATGGGAAAGAGCTCGGCAGAGTGAGGACCTCCCATTTCAAACCCCCAGTGCTAGAGACAATATACACCCAGCTGGCAGGATGGATGTGGTTTTTATTTAAAACACAGACAAACATGCACACAGAGAGGGAAAGAAACCCTGCAAAGCCAAATTTGCTTCTAAATCTATTTACATTTGGCGAGGCTTAAGATCACCTTGAACCATCTTTGCTATTTCTGTTCCTTTTTCCTTTGAAGTTGCAAGTTCTATGTAAGCTCTTCAGAAAAAAAAAAAAGAAAAAATTAAAAAAAAAAAAAGAGAAAAAAGAAAGAGAGAGAGAAAGGGAAAGAAGAAAAAAAAAGAAGTGTGTAGAGACGCCATTTGTGATATGTATTTTTTAATAATGACATTTTAAAAGGTTGAAATGTTGTGGCGTCTTTTGCAAAGTTATGCCATTTAAACAAGATAACATGGCATTTTACCATTAAAGACAAGACCCTCTTTTTCACTCGTACCTTTGAACAGCTTATCATTTTGCAATAATATCCTTCAGCTATATAGCTCTGTTCTTTTTCAAATGGAGGACATCTCTTCTAATTGTGCTTATGATACCAATTAGCATTGGGGTTTTCTGCTTTTATCAATAAACAGCCTTTCTTAAGAGCACCATGACTGTCCTAAATATTTTCTTCTCCTATATGGGATTCAGGAAAAAATTATAATTAATTCTTCTTTCAGTGAAAAAGCAAAGCTATTTTTAAATTGCATGCCTGATAGAATTAACAAAGTGTTAGACAATTAACAGTCTTTCTTTTTGTTGTTGTTGTTGTTGTTCTTTAAAACGCAGATTCAGTTTAATACTGTTTTCCCCTTCATCCTTTTCTCGTGTCCTAATTGTTAGCTAAGTAGTGTCAGGGCTGTGTGTTATCGGCCCAGGCAGGTGTCAAGTTTAATATTATTAAAGATGCAATTACTCCTTTCTCAAGCACAGCTTGTCAGTTTAGCTCATCGATGTATATATCAATACAATTTTAAACGAAAAAAAAAATAAAATCTCTGTTTCCCATCCATAATTATCTCCTTGGTATCTTGCCCCTTATTTTGGAAATGTCTCTCTAACCTCAGTACACGGGAGTCCTGGGAACACAATGAGCTGTGACAGTCTGAGTGAGCTGCACAATCATATTCCTCAACTTAGAATCATAAAATCACTTAGGTTGGGAAAGACCCTTCAAATCACCCTAAAAAACAACCAAGGATGGTTGTTGTCTCTGAGGATGCTCTATGGGGCCACTTTGAACAAGGGCACCCATGAAAGCTTGGGGAGCTGACGGATTCCTTGGCATTAGGCCTGCATCATGTAAGGGTGCTGGGAAAGTTGTAAGGGAAAATGTTGATTTATGGTGCCAACACCCATAAAGGAGATCTGAATGCAGGGCTGGGAGTTCATGTGCTGCCAAGCAGAGCTCCAAGTATCTGCTCTGGAAGCATCACAGGGGGAAACCCTTTGAGTTATGTGGAGCCAGTGGCTGAATTTCTCCTCCCCCATCCTTGGAGAGCTGATGGGTTCAAAATGCCACTGTCCCCAATTGCACCTTTTGGATCTGGGTTTTTCTCCAATCACCATTGCAGCTACTGTCCCAGAGAATGTGCTGGATGGATGGTTTAGTCACTAAAAATCGGACTCAACATTAATCAAAACTGTTCGCTAAATATGGCTTGAATTAATGAATCATTTTAACTAGCAAAGGTGGAAACACTGAAATAGGATTTTTTTTGTTAATAACTCCTTAAATAATATGCTTGCAAAATTTCAAACTCATGTTTTCTTTTAAGCTCTGGATAAATCTTATTTCAAAGAAGGGTTTGGGAATCAGACATTTCATTTTGGACTGAACATACTCTGTTTGACCCAGAATGAAGTACAGATGCACACAGCCCTGCAATTTGGCCACCATTCAAAAAATCAATTATTCTCAAAGCTTACACTGTGCCCCTTGAGGGAAATTGTTCTCTGACCACTCCTGGACAGATGAACCATGTCCTAAAGGGTATATAAGCCATGAGCAGGTAACAGTTTAACAGATCAAGTTATGGTATTCGCACATCTTCATCCAGCATCAGCACACCAAAGTTATTTTCACTCTGACACTTTCTTATTAGTCTACACTCTGTTCTTTTTCAAGATGAGTGCCCAGAATATCCACAGCCCATATTTATTACCATCCCAACTTCCATCTTGCAGATTCATTTCATCACGAGGATGATGCTCATTGCCAGGTCAGCTGCCATTTACTCTGGAAATGTGCAGATATTCTTTGCTATGGGACCTAATCTGCAGGCCAAGAGCTTCTGAGCAAACACAGATGAGAGTTCTCCAGTTCAGAAAAAAATATAAAATGTAACAGGCTATTTTCATGGAATCCTAGAATGGTTTGGGTTGCAAGGGACCTTATTTTTCATCTCATTCCAACCCCCTGTCATGGTCAGGGACACCTTCCACTAGACCAAATTGATCAAAACCCCATCCAACCTGGTCCTGAACACTTCCAGGGATGGGATATGTACAGGAAATATGTGCTCCTTTACTGTTTTGTCTGAGAACATCATGATCAAAAAGCATTTCCAGCAACGGAAACTTTGAAAATAATCCACCAAATATGTGGAAAAAACCACTAATGTCCCTCCCCAAGCTCTTTCTGCTTCCCAGTGATAAAATTCAAGGCTAAAAACCTTCCCCAGCCCAACGCTGATTCAGCACGTCGTTCCCTCCACCCTGACATTGCCACAACAGGGGCCACGATTTCAGTGGCACGTCTGGAATTCAGCTCATCCTCTTGGCCGTGATGCTCATCAGCCGGTTGCTTCCGTGCTGGGAGCAGAGCAGAGCAGGAAGAGAAGGGCTCAGTTTTAGGATCATGACTCAGTTATTTCCAGGCATCCTTGTTTAGGGGCAGTGTTTCCCTGCTCGGGTGGGTCACACGTGTCCTCTCCGGGTGTGCCGGTGGCTGCGCAGGTTCAGGTCTCTCTCCCGGAGGATGCTCCGGCTGCCTGCTCGGCAGTGCACGGCTGGAGACTGACAACTAATGGTTAGTTTGCAAATAGCTGCATGAGAGATCAGAGAATAACGTGTGAGGGGTGGGGAAAGAAGGGAGGAAGGGAAATGACTGGTAGTGCTTAAAGGAAATTGATCCCTGTTTAATGTTTCTTTAGTTTGATATTCGTTCTCAGAAATGGGGTTCTTAGTGCAGAGTTTTGCTCATGGGGTGTCAGGGTCAGGCAGGGTAGTAGAAACTGTGACTGTAATTAAAAGGACCTTATGGTCATCTCAAACTTAACTTCTCCAAGCTTAATTCTCTTCTCAACCCAGGACAAATCAGAAATAGCTTCATTTCCATTAATACAGATGCAGAGATGCTGCAGGAAAAGCTCCTATAGGTACCACGGTCTGGCCACCTACATCTGCAGATGGCAGTGGGGAGTCTTCAGTGGAAAAGACTGTAAAATGGGAGTTCTGGGAGAGCATAGGTGATTTTGGGAAGACAAGGCTGGAGGAACTGTGTGTGTGTGTGCTGGTAACAGACTTTGTGTCCAGGAAGAGTAACAGAAAGGTTACAAAAAGGGGGACCTGCTGCCAGGAGACCCTCCAAGCTTCTGCATTGAAGGTTGAGAATGACAGCTCTGTGAGTGCTGCAGGGAGGAACATGAAGGAGGAGGCTGCTACGAGACACTTTCCATTTTGTGGGAGCTACCTGGGAGCTACCTGGCTACATCTTTTCCTCACCTTTGAGATTTGCCACCTGTGAATTTTAGCTCTGAAATTTGCTGTCAGGATACCGTTGTGCTTCTGCTCCGCTGGAAGACCCTTTGCGTCATATTGGCAATAGCATCTGATTGTTGCACTTTGATATCACTGAATAGGTAATCAGACCACTCTTTATTTTAGCCTGAGGATATGTCTTTGATTTGTAGAGGCTGGCCATTTCTTATCTGAGTTTGAAAATGGGATTATTTAAATGTGTATTGATGTTTTTCATGTGGTCTAACTGTGCAGTTCAACATGGTAATTCAACTCGTAGCTATACCAGATTGTTATCTAATCTGATAAGATATGAACAGCACAAAGCCAAGATGATGAAACAATCGGGATTGTTGACTCACTGGGGTCCTGCTAAATCCAGTCTGCTTTCATACTTAATTATCCTGTCAAGTTCCTCGAATCTTAGCTCCTCCAGCACTGCGGTGGAGAACGGTGGTAGTGACACCACTTGGTGAATACATAAGTTGATCGAAATAATTTCAGCAGATACAATGACTATTTATGCCTCAACTGTGATATGAAAAGCTACTGATTCAAATACCCTAGACTGCAAAATTGTCCCTCTTAGCATTTCTAGGTTCACTGAAGGCTGTTATTAAAGGCCTCTGGAAGTTAATGCTTTTTCTAACATGAGCTGCCTCCTGACTGTCTCATACCAGAGGGGGAAAAGAGCAAGTGAAAATTAAGGCTTTCTAATGTTCTCCCTAAACTGGTCTTTACCAGCTCCCTACAGCAGGCACTGTACATGACCCTTAAAACAGTTGGGCATCGACAGCCCATTCCTCCTGATGTTACTTACTTCAAATTTTATTCTTATTATGACTGCAACTTTTATTGAAAGATAATGAATCTGTATTAATTAGATATAAAAGATAAATTTTAAAGCCTACCACCACTATTTGAAAATAACTCATGTTTTCACTTATTTTCTTGATTGTCTATAGGAGTAATCATGAGAGCAAGAGTTGTATCACAAGAGGTAATGGCAGAGGTAATGATGTCTATAGCAGATTAAAATAGGTATTTCAGGTATTCAAGAAAAATAACATAAAGGATCAAGCAGAAGAAGCTGAAATATTTTAATGGTCTGAATTAAAATCATACTCCTGTAAGTTTTACAAGGGTCTTGTCTTTGCTGTTAATTTGAGGTCAGCATTTTGCTCTTAGTCAGTATTAAGCTGTAGAGTAATCTGTGTATGAAGGACACCCACTGATGATGATGTTTTAAGTATTCAGAGAAGGAAAAAAAGGGCCCATAAGTGTTCAGAGAAATCCCAAAGATCAAAATATCACTGTGTCAAGCATCTTCAGCTGATTAACTCACTGGCAGATTCACCTGCGGATGTATCTGAAGCAATCGTTAAGAGCTTTGTTATGGTGTAGAGCAGCCAGTCAAGCATCCTTGTATTTAAAATCGACTCTAAAAAATATCCAGATATTGAAAGATGCTGCTTTATCTACTCAGTGTGTTTTAAAAGGAGAGCCACTGCTTTGATTAAAACCATTATCAACTGTGAGACTCAGTGATTTAGATCAAAGCCATTAATGTCCCCTTTGAGAGGCAGCACCAGGTAAAAATACCCAATTTTCAGATCACTGAGCACCTTGCAGTGAAGGAAGGGCCATGGAAACTTCTGGCCATGAAAACTTCTGGCCATGAATGGTACAGGAGCCTCAATCCACCAGATTTTCATGTGGGTCCTCTTGAAAATTGTAGTTATTAGGTTTAAATTAATTATGCTATTTTCTGTTGAAATTGCAGAGTGCTGTGTGGGAGAGCCTTGTCCAGCCCCAGTGCACACAGAGTGATGGGAGGTCCTGCCCTGGACTTTCAGAAAGGCTGTAATTAGCATGGAAAGGAAAGACCAACTGTTGTTTGAAAATGTTAGTGCTAAAGGTCTCCTTTAAGCTGGTTTCTGTAGTAGAAGCCTGTATCTCTCGTATAAACTGAAGAAAAAAAAATTGTTGCTTTTCTGCTCTGTTTTATTTCTCCCCTGCTGTGGGGATCTGGGCCTTTCAGAGGCTCTTAGAGGTGCGTTTGAGCCTGCCCTCCCACTCAGCCCCCTCCCTGCCTCTATCCATACCATTTCCATGGAGCTGTGATGCCACGAGCCTTTCCCAACCCCTGCTGCTATCTCTGTCCCACCCGCTCCTCAGTCCCACTTCATCCTTCCACTGAGGCACTCCACCAGTGAAGGATGCAGCACAGATCCAAACCAGTCTCAGGGGGAAATCAATGGAGATTGATCAACAACTGCTCTGTGAAAGAATAAGGTGATGGGAAACCCCCCTGCCTGGGCACACACACTGAAGCTCTGAGTGACCCCTCTGCTTGGGATGCCACCACTGGTGGGACCCCAACCTTGTGTTTGTCCATAGAGCTATAACTGGCTTCATCACCACAGACAGACAGACAGACAGACAGACAGCAGAGCAGACTGATGCAGCAGCTGCAAAGAAGGTGCTTTCTCCATGCTGTCTCCAGGGATTAGAGCCTGAGAAACCCAGTTCTGTGCACATACATGACAGGGTTTCAGAGCTGGGTAAGCAAAGGTGTGTGAGGGGATGGGGTTAGAGTTGTGTTTTTCTCTGCTTGTCCAGATTCTTTGCTTTTCAAAACCAGGGGTTGATCAGGGCAGGACCCACGTTCATAATTGATGTAATAGAACTCTGTAAGCTCATACCCCTGGGGCATCCATCCCTTACACCTTCCCACTGGCAGACAGATGCAGAGCATCACACCTTGGGGTCCACATTAGTGTTTGGGCTGAGCAACCCTTGCTCATTTGGGACAGCATTGAGTATTTATTTACTTTTTGTAAGTATAAACCCTCTCCTCGTCAGATTCATCTTCCACTCCAAGAGCTCCTTTGTGTGGCTGCCACCTCCTCGGGGCTGCTGTCACATTTTCCCTGTGCACGTGGACCTGGTGGTGACCCTCATTCCCAGCCACACCTGGGTTTGCTGATGAGGTTCAGAATGCCTTAAAATAGGTTAATTTGTAGGAAAGTGACAGAAATAAATTGCTGGCACTTTTGTGTGCTGATAAGTTTAACCTTTTTTTTTCCCTGAGCAGCTAAATTGCCAATCATCCGGAAACACACTGGAGTTCACCCGTTACATAAAGGAAGCTGTTAGTCTCATTTAAAACAATATTGACCTTTTTCCTGTCCTTTCCATTTTGACTAAATTACAGGGTACATTTTTTGAGATGTGGCTTTTGTCTGACTGTAACCAGGTGACCCTGATTTTTCCTCCTTTTTTTTTTTTTTTTCTCACTTACAGCTTTCAACCTTTCCTTTCTACTTCCAACACATTTCTTAGTTTAACCACTGGGATTTTCAAATCCAGAGACATTTAAAAAAGAGTTTGCATGATGCATATATTTTCCAGTTCACCTGGAAACTACAGAAAGCTGAGCTGGTGCACCCTGAAATACATGGTGTGGGAGTAGCAAGGGGCACGATGAAAATGATTGCAAAGTATCTCTGTTCTCCCAGATTCAGATCAGAGAGTGTGTATGAGCTTTCAGTTTCACTCAAAATTAATTGTAGATGCAGCATTACCAATAGATTTTCTTCTGGGAGAGAAAACACTCCTGCCAGCAAAGAATTGGGGTTTTTCCTTGTATTTCCCTTTAAATCAGGCTGTGAGTACATGCAGCTCCTTGAGAAAACCAACGTGAGGGTTTTGAGGTTCTGAGAGGCTTTTCTTCCTGCACAGAAACATTTTTTAGCTCATTTGGGGCCTTGGGCTGAGCCTCCAGTGTCAGCTTCTGAGCACATCGGAGTGAATAGCAGAATGCAAGAGTGAAGCTCGAGCTGTGTTTATTGGACCCAAGATCTCTAATAGCAGTGTGGCCTTACAGATATATTCTACTATGTTTCCTTCATTATTTCCTGAAGAAACACAAAGAGACAAAGTCTCCCTGCTCCACCTTCCTTCCTTCCTGGTCGGTGCCCAGTGACCACTTGACATCAACAGTATTTCCCCAGAAGGAGTTGAAGCCTCAGCTGGGGTAGATCCCTTCATCTCCGTCAGCTGAGAATCTGAAGCATCCCTGAAGTAAATTCATGAATGTGCTTATGGCATTTGTCTCTTGCATTAATTTTTCCTAGACAAAACCTAAAAATATTCCCATGTACGTTCTGCTGGCTCTTGGCTCATATAGAAATGTGTCTTCTAATGCCAAACTGAAATTAATACAGACATTACAGGCATTTGTGTAATTCAGACGTATGGTGGTTCTTTATATTATTTTTTCTGAAGCACTGAAGTGTGGGTTTTTTCCCCAGTTGGTCCTATTTTAATAGTTCCAGGGTTTTTTTGAAGGAATCCTGAGATGTAGGAAGCTTTAGAAAGGTTTAGGATTCCCTGGCAAAGGAGGCATTGATGCTTCCATTAAACTTAGAAAATACAGGCCTCTTGTGTGTGAGCATTTATCCCACAGGTTTGATGCCACAATACTGAGAGGCCAAAGAGAACTTGTCTTCCAGCTTTAACCCCATCTCTTCAATATTTGATTAATCTGAATCAGTGACATTGAAAATGGCTTGAAATATTTAATCATCTAACAGACATTCAGAGACTAGAGTGCCTTTCAAATCACACTGCCAACAGAGAAAATCATTTTTTCAATTGCTTACTGGTACAATGTTCAACCCATCTGGGAAAATATTTGGGTTGCATTGCAGGGATTTGATTGACTCTCCTGCCAATACCAAAATTTTAATAAGCTACAAAGGGACAAATTATTCCAACCACCACCTCTATGTTTTGTGGCGAGGCTTTGGGAGGGGAGGGAGATGCTTTGCACTCGACTGCAGGTGCGGCTGTGGCTGCGGCGGCTACGTGGGCTGCAGGCAAACAAGTTCCTGGGGTTAACCAGCATGTGCTCCTGCAGTGTGTCCCTGCCTCTGCCTCTCCTCCTTGCCTTCCCGGGAGATGGGCAGCCCAAACCCTCCTCTGAGGGACAGAAGCATTGCATTTTCCCTTTGGGCTGGCAGACCTGCAAAGATGCTGCCTCGCCAAAGGTTTGGGGGCTTTTTTTTAATTCTAGTAATGCTGGTGGAGCAATTTCTTATCTTTCAGTTCTACTTTAGAGCATAGGATTCAAATATCCCTTTAGAAGCAGTCGGTGCACTGATGTGCACACTGGACTTACACAGTGACAGGAATAAAATGGCCCTCCCTGCAAGCTCTGCAGCCTTGAGGCTGCCTGGTTTTGCTCAGCATTCGTGTGTGCCTCCGTGTAAAATTGCCCCGCACAATTATTCAATCTCATGGCAACTATTCAGTTTGCAAAGCAAAAATAATCATGTGATTACCCTGTAATTAGCTGATAGTTACTAATCAATTACATCTGCAGAGTTTGCCTTCCATTGAGGAGGTGTGTGGTGGTGGTTCATGGGTGAAACTCGGTGCCTGCCCTGAGCAGTTTACAGACCTCCAGCCTGGGTTTGCTCTATGGATGAGCAGGTGCTGTGTTTGGAGGAAGAAATATGGGACTAAACTATCTGAGTTTAATGACAGGAGTTTAATGTGTTGGAGGGGTGTGGGCAGGACGGGCCTCATCTTGTTATGGAGGGATTTATGGTGAACAGGTTGGCTGCAAAAACATGTTTGAAAGAAGCCTGAGTAAAGAAAGCAAATGCATTATTCCCAAAGCCTTTCCTGTGGTCACCTGTCTTCTCCAGGCTTAGCACAGCCAGGGCTGCTTCATTCACCAGGGTGGTTTGATACCCTGCAGTAAAGGCAAGCACAAAGTAATGTGTGTTCTGCAGGTATTTATTTACCTTGATATTCCTGGAGAGATGAGCATTATAGTCCACAAAAAGTAAATATTCATGTGTGTTGACAGTGCAGGTTTGCTTCTCTGGCATGTGGCTGTAAGTGAGGCACTGGGATACCTGTCCCCTCCCTGACAGTGTCCAGGCCTGGAATATTTGCAATTGGTGAGAAAAGAGAATTAGAAAATAACTTTGAATAATCACAAAAATCTGTCTGAGTCCTTCATCTCTGGACACACCCTCAGAAAACTCTCCTAGAACATCCATGGCTGGAGTGGAATGTTCATTCAGTGCACAGAGGAAGGGATGATTTTGCAATACAGGGAGCAGTGCTGGGAAAACTGAAGGGAGAAGTGAAGCTGTCGGCAGGTTTGAAGAACAGTTTGATAAATATTTCTGCTGTGAAAGAAGGAAGTAAGACATGACAAGAATAGAGATGTGTCCGTGAGAAGTTAGACAGGAATTCAAAGGGATTTGAACTTGATGCTGCAGGAGAGAAGCTTATTTTTGAAAGAGAAGGAGGGAGAGAATGAAAATACTATGGAAGAGGGAGAGGGACAAACCCTGAGGTTATAAATCAGGAAGACCCATGCTCGAGGGACCAAGAGGAGGGGAGGTTTAAGGACCTTTGGGCAGAAAAACGTGTAGTCGGGTGCAAAAACATGTCACCTGCTCAGCCAGTCGTGAAGCCTGGCAAGACTGCACCGTGGTCCCTCTGCTCTGGTCCTGGGTGGCCGCTGCCAACTCCGAGGACCCCGGTCCGGCTGGGACAAACCTCACTGCTGGGAAGTGGGGCTGGATGCGGGCACCCCATCCCCTCACACCTGCACAGCACGGGCAGAATCCTTCCTCCTCACCAGCCCCTGCCTCCCTCCCTCCCTCTCCATCAGCCGAGCCTCCTGTTAAGAAAGATCCCGACGCCACCATTAAAAAACGCCCTGCGCCGATTGCAAATTCATTGTTCGCTAAAAGCTAATCCAGGCGCGGGTAAACACAATGGCCCCTTTTTTTCCCCCCAGCCTGACGTTTCATTTACACAAGAGCTGGAGCTGCCGCACCGGCGCTGCCACGCAGCCGTCAAGCATTGATTGTGCTATTCAGCGGGATGGCTCAATAATTACAGCCCCGGATCTCC